ACTTTCGTGATACACCCCAGTGTATCGTTGTCTATTTCCATGTGTCTAACCTGGCTGCATTGGTTCATGGATGAGCCTCTTCTCCTTAGCACACCACGATGCTTGGCGTAGGCTTGGCGGCATGGAAATACGATTGGCTAGGATTCTTCGCCGCTCAATTCACTACTCAGCACAACATTATTTTCGCGCCAACTACATGCAGCAAGGTACCTAGATAGCTTGATGCATAGTTCAGGGATGGCACGGTCATAAAGCTTTAACAGTAAGTATGGTAGACACACTGAGCGGAAGCGAGTGCAGGCATTCGTCGAACCCATCAAAGCAGCGAATCCTTTTAGACAATTGGCATTGCGCGAACTGATAGGTAGATACACTATCAGGCCTTAATAGCAAGATTCTGCAAGATGACAATGGCGCATAAAGCCGGCTCGTTAGTTTGTATATGTATATCTGCCTTACTAAAGTGTAAAGTATGCCACCATTACCACTTCCTCACCACCACAATACATGAGCGCTACATCTTGATGTAGGATTTTATATATACCTAATACGACCGAGATGTGGTTCATAACAAAGGTTGCTTTAGAGTGGGCAGCACTTGCAATAATACCCCATTGTACCCAGTCGTGGGACATTCTAGACGTCGGGTATTTCACAAGAATATGGCATGAAATACGGAGCTTCCTCTTTGTACAACATCCCTGAGATCTGCATATGCGTATGTCTGGATGTTTACAAACTTGTGAAACGAAAAAAACGATGATTGAGCGACAACGCTCATTTATCATTTCTGGCAGTCAACGAAAAGATCTGCGATATGCGCATCTGGCCAGACCCAAGAGTAGGAACTAGACTCTTCAAGCGTGAATGCCACGGGGGCCTAGACCACTCACGATGCTTGGCCACTAAACTGCAACGAGTTCTCATGACATCTCATATATAAGGCTAGCCATCCATCGATGCCATCCCAACATCTGAATCTTTGTCCCAGCATCTTGGTATCGTGCCATCCACCGAAGCGAAAATACTTTTAAACGTGCAGTGACTGGAACAAAGTTCTATCTCGGTGAGAGATACGAGATGATAACCTCCCATCCCTATATCTTATGCGCCTGCCGAAAGGGAAAACTGTAGTGATAAGAGTGACAAATGGCACCACCACCGGTGGCGAAGATCCAAGATTCTCTTGATACAGAGTCCGACAGCGGCCCTCCTTTACGACACAAGATCGGCTTGACCTGCCATGACCGGCAATCTAGTCAGGGGAAGGGAACAAACAATTTGAAGAACTATATTCTACATACTATGCTAATAAGCAGCAATGCCCGTCTGATCTGATGGGAAGAAAGGTCGTTGAAGCCCGGCCTGTCCTGAGACCCAATGAAACCCCCTCCCTACTAGGTAGCGGAACTTTGAAAATTAGGCTCAGTTATGGAGGGTGAACGAGGGGAAATTAGCGCTTTGGAGTGCTCCGATCGACATCAACTGATACCTCTTTGGCGTCCTCACCGGTCTATCCTCCATTCCCCTCAAGTAGATATGCCGCCTCAGTAAGTATGTAAGTATGGTGTGCATGGAAGATGGAAGCGACCCCATCGTCTAAACTTGTCGTTGAAGCTATCTTGACCTCTCTCCCCCGAGAAAAATCTAATCGGATAGTCCCTACTTTCAGGTCCTAACTCCCCACCCCCCTTCATGCAATGTTATAGAACGATGTCAGTCGTTACCTGACGCCAAGTGTCGAGATGGTCGTGATTGTCGTCTGTTAGGCAGGTAGCTTTATGCCATTCACTCACTACCTATAACCCGTTATATACACTTCCCTACCGGCAGTTAGATACACTATCAGTCGATCAAGCGGCACATTCGCCGATTTGCGAATCTCGGGCGATGCCTTTTGCGTTTCAGGATGATCCGGTGCGGAGATATCCTATCTAACAGTAACATTCGGACGAGCGGCGGCCATTACAAAGATCTCAAGGCGAAAAAGCATAGAAAAAGTCTTCTTCTTGTGGCGTAACAGTTTTCATCAAAAACATACGACTTTGCCTTAAGGCATGCGCACAATGTGCTCGTTAAAAAAACACCATCACCTAGACCACACCAATAGTATCGCATAACGCCGGCGACAAGTCGATGGCGATGCCACTGCTTTTGGGGCACTTAATATCTGTACGTACTGTCGTGCTACTGTACTAAAAACTGTTTTGCATTAGGAACATTACACCACACACCATGTGTATGTGCGTGCCTCCGCAGATTTTAGTAGGTATGAGAGAGTACCTAGGATGCATGTACTCGCCTACAGTGCCCAGTAATCTACTTAATTACTGTACCTATAAAAGGGTCAACAGTGTACGCACAATGCGCACTGTATTTTGCAACACAGTCTGTCCCGGATGGCAACATACTGTCAAAAGGCAGACAAGGGCAAGCTTGGTTTATATGCCGCCAAGAGATAGGTACCAGAGTCCTAAGGTACCATCTCTTATCAAAACTCTCCGGTGATCGATCTAACTCCGAGTCGCAAGCGCGACAAGCTACCAATCAAGGTCAGAGACAGCACGGGCGATAGTTATCGCAAGATATGACTTAATTTCTGTGCAATGATTACCAACAAGAACAATTCCTTCTCACCTTCAGGCGCGGATCGCACGCCCGACATCGCTAGACAATACCTAGTGAGGAAACGGCGGAGGAGTGAGATGGGCCACGACGGCGCCTGCTCCTGCTCCTGCTGTGGCAGATGGAGACGGGCAGGATGGGGATGTACCTAAGTACTATGTAAGTACAATGTCCTGCATTGCCCCTCCTGGAGAGCAAATTACCGCATTCGGACAGCCCACACAGCTCGTAATCTTGACGTCATACCCCAAATCCAACCGCACGACTCTGCCCGCCAATATTGACACTCTCAGCCCCAAAGCACATAACGGACAAATATCGTCCGAGCGTCAAGCCCTCATGGCCAAGAATATGCAGCTGAAGCCTCCGTGGCCAAATGAAGTAGGTAGATAAAATATTAAGGATAGCTATCGGTGATATTGAAGTAGTTCGAATCATCGAACCCCAACGAACAGCTATGACAGTAAGCACCAGTTCTCTTAATTGGAGAGGCCCAGGAGGATGAACAATGGATTCATTCCTTACTTACTGATACGGTATCTAGCAAAATAGAATTCAGGATGCGTAAAGGTCAACTGAGTCACATATGCCTAGATATGTCAACCAGTAAGTACCCTGATCCTCGTGTCTACTGCACACCAGGACCCCATATTCGGTATTTCGAGACCCGATTCTATGGATCTCTACACACAATACATATATGTAGACACGTTTTCACTTGAAGCGAGAGACTAGGGTTCGGATCGCCGATGTTGTCCAATGTCCATAGGAGTATGTAGGTATCTTGCTGAAGTTGCCCGCGCTAGCACTGGTTACTCGACTTAGCATCCTCAGCTACGATATCGAACGACAAGCCCAGCTAAAACAAGGCGGTCTGTAAGGATGTGAAATAAGCTCCGACTGGCGTCTATTGTACCACTTCGGCTGCTTCCCTCCTTCAAGACGCGCGGCGCGGGTATCGTTATCCCACGTCCCCTCAAAGTCTGAGTCGCGCGGGGCGAAACGCTAGTAGAAGCCACAGTGCTCAAAGTTGCAATTAGTACAACTCAATTCACTCCTTGATGGCGCGAAGGCGTTCTGTACGCCGCAGATACGCTACTAACGTCATTATAGTAGTGTGGTATCCTAACCGCATGTGGGAAAGACAGAAAAATGTGCCACAATATCGATGTATGCTTAGGTGAGTTAACTTTTGTCAGGAGACAGGCTCTCCAAATTAATAGGCGCGTGTGGTTAACCACTCCTTGGTACGATGGTCTCCTGCAAGTGGAAATGAGGCGGGAATATTCAAACTTGATTTTTTGATTGGACAGATATCTCGGTATATTTACGGAGAGTGAGTACATTCGGGCGCTATCGGTGAAGCTCGCATCTGCTTGCATGCAATGGCAAGCCGGGGCAGCTAGGGAGATCTGCAGAGAACCCCCAGAGATTCTATCGATCTTGTGATCAATTATCAATTGTATTAATCACCTCCATACCCAAATGACACTTGCTTATCTGGCCCATGGGGCAGGCAGGTCAGATCTAGTGCCTGCGAACCTCAAGATCTCGGCAGAGGCAGAGTACGGTACCCTAAAGTACGATTATCTATGGATACCTAGCAGAATCTGTGTCAAATGATAATAGTATCATAATATAGACACTTCATCTGATGTTATATCAATTATGTAAGGAGAGTAATCATAAATCTTGGTGATCTAGGAACGAAGCTTGAGAAATTGATAGTACAGTAGCAGATCTACCCGTCATGGCCTTGACTAAGCAAATCTACGAATTAAGATATCGACCAGGATGCTCGAAAATACAGTGTGCACTGTAAATATGCACAGTCTCCACCAAGCTTCAATTTCCGGAATGGACTTTGCGGACTTCCTACTTAGGAAAGCGACTAGGGGTTCGCAGCCAAACAGCTCCAAAGATAAAACAAACGGCTGGCTCAAGCTCGACTTACCGAATCCGGCAATCGAGGCCATCAGCGATTGGACCGTAAAAGGCAAGCCTCTGGCCTTTACTTAGAATAATCCACAGCCGCATTAATAGATGCTTTAATGGCCTACAGTAGGTACAGTACGGAGTACGGGGTGGTAACTAACGCCGACTCTGGCCGACTATGAGCGCTGCTAAGACCCGGTTGTTAAACTGTGACACAACCCACGGGGTAAGAGAATATCGTGCTTTTGCCCATTTTCACGATTATAAGTAGTGATTTAGGAAAGCTGGTTATATATATGAGACCGTTTTACCAATCACATGGAAAGGTAAAGGCCTAGGTACCTAGCTTGCAGCGCCAATGTTAAGCCACAAAGGTTTGGCGACGCTGTCAACGCGGATCTGAAGAACCTAGACTTAGGTATATGGAAACCATTGACCTATCATATTTTGCAAACGTTACAAGATGCCGTACACGGAATCAGATAGCCTTACTCCCTGCCTTGGACAGAGATCATGCGCAAACTCATAGGCATACTTGCGGTGTAGAAATCCACGTGTATCCGTAATGTCGTTAGGCTAATAATGCATCAATTGAGATTGATTACAAGTAAAAGAACACTACATGGCCAAGATCACAACAAACCATGTTCCATGTTCGCCTTACATGATCTTCCTCCATAGCCCGCCAGACAACCGATCAAGCGCCAATAGTTTCACGCAAGGTTACATAGCTAAGAAGAAGCGCAGCAGTCGACGGCGCGAGCCTCCTCTTCCCGTCGAGAGGGACCGGGCCTCTCCGCGAGACAAGCATCAACAGGAACAGGCAGGAACAGCAACAACACCAAGGACGACGACGACGACTTTTGACGCATCTCTTTTCCCTGACATCCCGAGAGTCTCGCGTTTTCTCACGGGGCTTACGGATTACCACTACGATGTGAGCGAGCGTATTACATGCACAGCGGTAAAGAGCGCGTCCTGTTCCGGAGAGATCTGCGCATCGTATCTTATAGGGAACAATGGATATAGACAGGTATTATCATCAATCACACGGGTTCTTCTCTTTTCATCCATTCGCTACGTACTTAGTATGATACTACATGATGTGGTAACGTGTGCGCACAACGATGCGATGCATGCTACACTGCTGCTCACTCACGCACCTGAGGAGGAGCTAACCTCGACATGTGCCCGCGTGATGGGCTTTCTGCGAAATGCCATGCGTCAATCCCCCGCGCGGGGAATCAGAATCTTACGGCTGTGCGTAGCACAGTCCTACGAATGGGTGGTAGTGAGGCGTTCCTAGCTGAGGCTCTAACTTGGTTTGTTTCTGGCCAATGTCTCCTCATCGTATGGCATGAGGCCATCGTGGGCTTCTTTTTTGGGGGCGTGTTTGGCTTTGGGACCATGACCGCATACAACTAATTAGTCGTCAGGGATAGACACATTTGAATTCCCAGAGACTGGATTAACACTAATTTCAAGTGGAACGAACCACTCTGGAGATGCCCGATGATGGAAAGATCGGTCCACTGTGGACAAGTAGGTAACCTACCACTAAATACTTTGCGACTGGCTGAGTGAGTGAGTGACTTGACTGACTTCAAATTTGCGCTTTAATTTGCGGGATCACGATGCTTGGAATGCTCGGACAGACTTTTGTACTACCTTGTGACAGGAACATCAGCACAGCATTGCAGGAAGGGCTTGCCCATCGTGAGGCGTCGCACGCATCGGGGTTTTTGGTGCGAGATCGATGTTGAGTTATAAAAGCGCCGTTGATCGTCGCTCTTCACAGCGGGGCTGCTGGCGCAGACTAAGGTCTTCTTCGGCTTCAGCGGGTGCTGCGCTAGAACGAGGAGCGATCGTCGCCAGCGCCCTGGGACACCATGTCGTTTTGTGACTTGCTTCGCCTAGTGTGCCACAGTAAGGGGGGAAAAGGGAGAAAGCAAGAAAGCATGCGAGCGAGCAAGGCTTGGTCCTGTTTATATCTTGGGATGGCTATGTGAGGTTATTCACACAGTATACTGATGGTGAGCTTCAATCTGCGCTGCGCACAGCAGACGTCCATAATAGACCTTGCACGATCTCTAGTAATAGCTACAATGGATTTCAGAGTTCCTGGAGTGAAAGATCTGCACTACCTAAGATATTAAAGGTACGTCGTATTTCAGAGTAAGTAGAGCAGCGACGCCTACTTGGTATGTCTTCGTTATTTTCACGTCTTTTGTATTATTTCCAGGGATAATTTATCTCTGTGGGGAAGTTCATAAACGGTAAGCATGGGTTCTGCCATGGATAGAACCCATGCGACCCATGGAGAGAAGCGTGGAGGAGAGTAGCGGAGACACAGATAGGTGGGGATTCCTAATGCCTGTCATCTTTTCTCATGGGTTATCTCTCTAGTCGGGGTTTGAAGCAGGCTCCGTAGACGGATTTTCAGGAACACTCGGCACTGTATAGAAGGGTTATCCCAAGCTGCCTGGTGATCACCAGTAACATGACCAGGGATACTGCCAGCGCAGTTTCAGGCCCGCGTATTAATAAAACACTTGTTCGCAGACTTATACGACTAGAGATACTGAAGTCCAAAGGCTACTGTATACTTGGAAGCGACCAAAGCGTTCACGATATGGGGAAATAATGGCGTGAGTGCAATTCGTATCAATGCTGACGGGGGTTGGACGAGCTGCTGGGGCTGGCTGACGGGCGAATCTGCGCGGGTAGTTCTTTGCGCAGCACCCCAACCAGCCGTTCATTGTTGATTACTTACACTATCCGCATATTATCTTTACTAGGTCCTTACATGTAGTGATATGTCGCTGAATGAGAAGTGCCGTGGGGTAGTTTCTTATCAAGGCGTCATTATCACACGTGAGTTGCGTATCAATCTCGTCATTGGCATAGTCGGCTGACCATGTGAATGCCGATGGATGTGCTCTTCTTTCAGATTCGCATCCGACGCGGAGCTCCGCTGCCGTCTCGGACTCATGATGCCGAAGGAAGCTTCATTCCAATGGCACATCAGAGTTTGACGCCTCTCGGGGCTTGTCTTTTTGCGCCATAGTGCTGAAGCCCGCAGAAGTGTTTGGCCAGGTGACCAGCCCACTTCAACCGAACTCGGGTCGAACTGCCCAGGTGATGATAAGCTGACCGCAGACGTTTGACCGCTCGGAAGACGCCGGGGTTGTTTGGTTTGTGCTTTTCGGCTGGAAAGAATGCTCCGCGCCAGCTTCCTACAAGCCACTGGTGGCTGGTTATGGCGAGTTGGGATTGGACGCTGTCGCCTGATCTTGGTACGATGCTCTACTGCACGGGCCGCCAAGCACTATAGGATTTAGGAAGCATGTGGTGGCTTGCTTGGTTGCTTGGTTGCTTTGCGACGCTGCACAAGCACCTCGCCGCGGTTAGTCGGTGATATGCAGGAGGTGAATCAAACGCCTCCGCAGCAGTCAACTAGCACTGTCAGGTGAGGTATCATCGTCTTCATGCCCTATTCGCTGCTTAACATTAGGTATCATAGTGTACCTATACGGTACTCTTGTAAGCCACAATGGCACCGCAGCTAACACTACATCCGTTAGGTATAAATGATTGAGATGGTAGACATGACATGACAGTCTGTCTTCATAAAAGACAGCCCATTCAGCATGAAGGGGCATGTATAATCACCAGAGACAGCAAAGTCGTCACACAAGAACGCCCAGGCGAGACGGAATGTTCGACTTCTTTTTCGCCCTCGCGACACGAGTTGAGGTGGTACCATGGTTCTGGGTCTGCTCAGCCTCACGATGCCGTTCAAGTTTGTTTGCAGACTCGTGACTCCTACAAGAAATGACAGCAGAACCACGTCCTACATACTACTGTATGTACCTGTAGATGATAAGCTTGTCTGACTACGCCACATAATACTTGCTGGGAAATGGGGTTCTAAAAGAGCCCACGCTGAAAGTGGCCGATTCCTTTCAATCCCCATTTCGAAGCTCTCCATTCTCATGGCACCAGCAGGGTGCTTTAAGAGCTGAGAACTGCCTGAAGTCGTTGCGGCGGATACAGATATCCTGTAGCACTGTCTAGCCAATGGAGTTTTATTTGCAACGCGAATACTGTTATGTACGAGGTATCTCCAACCGGACAGATAGCTCCTATGTCAGTTACACTACTTCCCGACGTACGAACACAGACAAAATGAGTCGGGCCTCTAGCGTATACAGTTTATCGTCATACTGTCACAACTGATGGTCTTTGATGTGCGTGTGAGAGTCTGTCCATAAAGGTATTCGACGTATATCGTATGACAAAGGCTGTCAAAGACTGCAAGTGGCGAAAATGTCCCCCCCCCCTTCCATTCCCCCGAGAACGCATCCTTTGGGAAAGATGTCGTGTAACCGCAACCTCGCCCCAACATGTCTCGGATTGGTCAAAACACCGAGAACTCACTTACGAATCATGTCGAGAGTCCTGATGTTATCTCAAAAACTTTCATATAATTTTCACTTCTTGGGGGCATGCCGGGGGGAAAGGATCGACACCGCGACACCACGTAGTGCATGCTCTGGAACGATGCGAGTTTCCTCATGCAAGGGTAGTGTGGTGTCGTATGGTGCAGTGTGGTGTAGCTTCTCATCACCATCCTCTGAAATCTGCGCCGGGCTAGAATTTGCTCGGGCCGCCCCCCTTCTGCAAGCGCCCAACCTTGGTACACAAAATGGGTAGTTATTCAGAAGCTTCTCGAGTATCCTGTCGAGCCCCTGTTTAGTACATAGCTCAACAGGGTCTGTTCATGCGACAGGAATTTGAAAAGGGGGGTTCGTTCGATTCCCCTGCCTATACTTCGCGACGATAGTTCTGTAGGGTATCGCCAGGTGAGGAGACCGACTGCCACCTACCCCGGATCATAAACCAGTAGCTTTGGGTAAATGCAAACAAGATGCAGCAGTTGCTAAGGATCATGGACCCTTCTCTTGCCCACCGCCCTTTCACCAATGGCAAGCCATATTACTACACCAGCTCGCCGACTCTCTGGATAAAGAGCTCCCTAGGAATGGTCGAGTTAGCCGTGTAATGAACATCAACCGCTTTTTGGTGCTACATCGACCAGAAGCACTATTGGGCAGCAATTAGATGCGTCTTTGTTCTTCTGAATGTGGCCCTAGTACATATGATTCCCTCCCTGAGGACAAGGCGCGGCTGCTTCTTTCACATTTCCTTATCCGACCAATAAACTATGAGAGCAATCAAAGTTTCTATGTAAGGGAGCATCCATAGCAAGAAATTGTATGACAGCGTCACCGCCACTATAGCTGTATACCGTAACTCCACGCTCGCATTTCAATGCCCTTCTTAATCTTCTAGCGCAATGTCGAGATGAAGGATTCTCCAGTTAGGATTGACTTGTGCGCCATAGTGTGTGAGACAGTAATTCTTATACTATTTACATGTGCATGTACATACAATTACATAACATCTAGGATCAGCAACCTAAGGACGTTGAACATGCTCGATGGAGGAACAGACAACGCTCCTAATATATGTGGCGGAATGATGACATGCCAAAGGCACGCCAAAATAGCTATCGTAAGTGCTCAAAGACAAGTGGCACCATGGTCTCGATCCATGATTCCAAAGTAAAGGGTGGTATTTTCACCAGGTCCCTAGTTGCATGTGCTTGTTCGCTTATTGTCGACTGATTCTCAGGGTCTCCCGGCAATCTGAGGAGCCGATTGAAGCATAATGTGTTGATGAATGAATGTGGTATAGTCAACCCACCAGAAACTGGCCCGTTGTTACCCATCGTGCAGTTAATCCTTGCGATATAGGTCGTTGAATTCGCCACCTAGATAGGCATTAGTCAACATAAACTGTTGAACTCGGTGACGCCTAGGTATTACTTATACCTATCACGTGAAGGTTTCACGTCCGGCATGGCCAGTCTATGAATATGACTGCATCGAACTCTGTACAGTAAGGGGTTAAATGGCTATATCTTGTAAGTGCTAGTGAAAGTCTTCGCGTGGTTCGTGGTTCTCCTAGATCAAGGTACAGGAAGGAACGCAATATCAGCTTCATAGGTTCCCCTAACATCTACTTGATGAGTGTCAGATATGCCTCTGGTAGAAGAATACAAAGGATTCGTCTGATTAAATTTTGAGATTCTCTTTATACATCTGGGATAACTTTTACATCGCGGCTTAATGTGATCTTTTCATTAATCTCAATCTTTCATCTACCTGTTTACTCTGGTAGTAAAATTCTCATGCCCATCAAAACCCCTTAGGCTAGACAGTACAACTGGAAGAATATTATCTTGGCTTTTCGGCGAAACTAGTGTTTGTACCATTAAGGGATAAACTAGGCGCCAACCTTTATGACCGGCAGGTGTTCGGAGCAAGCTGCTCGCATGAAGATTTTCTTGATTCATATTGGTATTCCAAGGAACACATTTCAACCCCGATACGCTGTTTACATAAAGTTTATCATTGTGCACCGGAGCAAAGTAAAGTGCTAAATGTGGCAATCTTGAAAGGAGATGTATGGTATAGGTACCTGTATGGCCTTTGCTACAATCTATACTAACATATTTTAAGCTCGAAGATTATGCCCGTCCTTGCAGCACAAAAATAGGATTTGGATATTCTTGTGACCAGTTTCTTGTTCATAGTAGTGGGCAGAATAGCTTGTTTATGTAATAATTTTCAACGGATTGAATTCCCCAATTTGCTGCTAGTTTCTGCCGCATGATTCAGAGGTGCTGTGATCTCTTGGCCGCCTTAGATGGTTATTGTTCTCTAGATTCTCCTGGCCATATATCTTCTAATTGTTTGGAAATCCGATTGGCTTAACTAAACCACCACTACTAGGGATAGAGTGTGTTTGTGTGTGCCTGCGCTGTGAGTTCTGAAGATAGTACCATGTCGAGGGCAAGGCTTTTAGCCTTCTCACCACAGATGTAGTGATACAACAACCTACATACCTGCATGTTAAATGTATCTTAACTTTGCTGGGTCAAGTTTCGGTATGATCAAGTATGCAAACTAGAGTCCGTGATGCAGCTCGCCTCTCAGTTGCTCGGTTTGTGCAGCATGGTTACCGCCGGAGCTCCAGGCATATCTCATCCACTCAATTTATATTCTAGTGTGAAAATCTCACAAACGCGATACACACTTGAGCCGTAAACATGGGATATCCCAATTCCATGAGAAGAAGAAGTAGTTACTATCATTTGGGTTCACATATTTCACCGAATGGGTAATGAGTACCAGCTGCTCGTGAATTAGTGTTCAACTTTCCGGAACAGATTCCTATAGTTGCCTGCGGCTTTAGTAGAACCATGACGGCTCAAACAACCGGTTTTTTCTCAGAATATCTTGGCAAAGGACAAACACAATCCTGTAGAAACAATTAGGTTCGACTACAACCTGGTCGGCGGATTAGGTATATAACTATGAGTTAGCGTCAGTGTCAGATCAAGTTCTGTCAGTTATACTCTACTTTCACTGTCAGGTGTCTTCGACCTGTCACCCACGTGTCGGGCCTAATTCTAGAATATCCTGTTTATAGTGTCACTCAGTGCATTGCCAGTCTTTACTTCTGGGCTCTGTACATTCCCTCGCTTCACTATGAGAACTCTGCAAGGAATACTTCTGTGGGCGACAGCCGCAGCCTATGCTTTCGGGGGTAACTTTGGCATGGACTATGATGAAGCTCATTTCGAGGACTCCCCTTTCCCGGCCGGTTTTGATTCTCAAGGCTTTGGCCTTCATGCTCCTAATTATCCAGCTGGCCATGCCCCTTATAATGGTTTTGGGTCTAAAAATGGTGGCTTTGGTGGCCGAGGCGGGTTTGGGAAACCGGGCTTTGGCTTGAATCATGACGAAGATGAGAGCAAAGGAACCACATCTTCTGGGAGCGACACTACTACTAGTAGTACTTGGTCGTCTTCTAGTACAACTACAACTCATACCAAAAATCATATGAAAACTGCTCATACCCAAGCGACATGGGTTACGACTGCTACCTACGACAACCCTTCTGCGAAGATGAGTGCGATTAACGACTTTGGCGGCAGCCTTGGCAATATTTTCATAGGTCACAATGGGGGCCATAATGAGAATTCAGGATTCAAATTTGATGACTTTGGCTTCAAGGTCAACCAGGCAGGTAGCCAAAACGAGGGTACGGAGGCAGAGACAACAACAACTATGTCGACAACTACAACGTCAAGCTCTAGCTCCTCGTTTACCTATGTATCAACATCAGCTCCAAACTCTGCTAACTGGCGTAGCTCGAATGGCCATCGTGATCCTGGCTCATCGGGGCGCAAATACAAAGGGGGGAGCGACTGGCCTTCGAATAGCGGAGCTAAGTTTGGAAAGCATAATCATGACTATAAGAGAAGTAATGCCGACCCGAGAGAGGGCGATGATGACACAACCCTCGAGGAACGAGGCTTCGGTAACGTTGGTGGATTCTGGCGAGGCTGGGGCGGAGGAAACTGGAACGGAGGTGGTTCGCAGGGAGGTGATACACACGGAAGTAATGAAAATGAATTTGGACATGGACATGGAGGCGGTGGACATAGGGGTGGCCAACATGGAGGCTCTGGTGGCATGGTAAGTGGTCATCTTATTCATTCTCGAAGACGCCAAGTCTGAAGTTTAAACCAAGCTAACGATGTGTTGATAGGGTCACGGTGGCCATAATGGCTGGGATCCTACTTGCATGGCCTCAACAGTCACGGCTACATCGACATCGACATCTACTACAACGGCAACAACTACAAAAACGACTACGGTTACTGACACATCTACATCTACATCTACAACCACAGCCACAGAAACAGTGACCGTTATGGATGATAATTGGGGTTGGAAACACAGAGAGGGTTAGTCGATGATAGTCTATTAGAAGATATTTTTGTTTTCCGCCTCTTCCCAGGGCCTCCTTGTTGAAAGTGATGCTGATATGTGGCCCTGTAGTATGTAAAGCCCATCAAATCCTGAGCATTTCAAGAATGTATATCTAGGCTGAATGCTGGCCAACCAACGAGACTTCTATTTCAACTAGTTCGACCTCATTTGCTGACCATTCACGGTAGCCCCCTAAGCCCCCCAAGCCCCATGGAATCCATGACATTCAATCTGTGACGTAAGTCGTTCCCGAAGTCAACTAATCTCTTCCTTTCCCGTGCGTCCAGGGAGTGAGGGCGTATATGTATGTGTCCAGGTCGAATGGGGGCTGGTTTGCTAACATATTCTTTCTAGTAAAAAATACACTGCCACAATTGTGAGTTGCGGGCTGAGTATCAAATAATATCAAAGAGACTATATCTAACATTACCTAGACGATCACGAATGGTCATACTAAAACCGCGACTGAGACCAAGTTTGAGACGGACACGGACACTAAAACTGTAACGGCGACGGAAACTTCAAAAGTGAGTATCTACGTTGACTGCATTAGCTAACAAGCCTCTGGATCACAGCTCGCTAATATATTATTGCGAAGTACACATCAACTGTAACAGTATCAGACTACTCGGTAAGTAACCCCAGCCCCGTCGCTTGCATCTAGACTGCATTATCACGGGAATCTCAGAGCATAGAGGCACGATTTTGATACTCTTCGCAGTCACTTACATCAACTGTAACCGTATCGGTCACCGCCACAGTTACTTCTGACTATACTTCTACTGTTACTTCATATTTCAGCACTACGTATACCTCTGACTATACATCTACTGTTACGTCATATTTTAGTACCACGTATACTTCGGATTATACGTCTACTGTCACCTCTGACTATACGTCTACTGTTACTTCATATTTCAGTACTACGTATACTTCGGATTATACGTCTACTCTCACCTCCGACTACACTTCTACTGTTACTTCATATTTTAGCACTACGTATACCTCGGATTATACCTCCACAGCTACCTCTGACTACACCTCTACCGTTACCTCTTACCTGACTTCAACTGTCACTTCCACTGTTACGTCTTCCGTTCCCTCGTCCTTTACTAGCACGGCAACTTATACAAGTACCGCGACGGCGACGGTTACGAACTCGGCCACAGCTTCAACTTCAACACTCACAATTACTATCTCTTCTGCAGCACCTGCGACAAGTATTTGAACCCCCTAGGAATAACAACTGTAACTTCAAAGCTAATACAGCGTCGCTAGTCAAAACTAAGACAATTACAAGCACGTCCTCAGGGAGCACTTTCACGATCACCACCACAGTTACAAGTACCAAGTCCGGCAATACGCCTACGGTCACTGACACGGTTACTAGCAATAAGTCTGGGAGTACTGCAAGGTCGTCTACATCATCATCTTCACCTGCTAGCGCAGTCGTGACGACTATTACTACGACCAGTTACGGCTCAAAAGGCCCAACCACCATCACCACAACGAGTACAAGCAACCAGAAGAGCACGACCACTCAGACCAGGAACACGAGCACAACGGTCACCAGCACTGCAACTGGTAACTCGTCTACTAGGACGTATGCGGTCACGGGCGTGACGACAGTAACGAGCACGAGTACAGGCAACTCGGGCTCCGTGGTGACCGTGACGACGACAAGCACGCATGTCTCGACTGTAACGCAAACATATGCCACGAGATCAAACGCAGCTGACGATCAAGACATAGCCGCCGGCGGCTCATTAAGGATGCCTCGTGGGCTATTCCTGGGAGGATGGGCTCTAGCTATCATGGGTCTAGCATGAGGCTGATCCAATGCGATGCGACCATTGTCTCATGAAGCCTCTTCTATCCTGCACATACAGAACCAGCATGAGTATGGGACCTGCTGTGGCGCATCCACACAGCAAGCAGCGCGCAGCATCCCTTACCTGTCATCACATCTCATTTCATTTGTTAGCATAACGTTGTATATGGTTTTGGTATTGGTCAAAGATGTTGAGAAATCTGAAATGGGTCGTGATTACACAATCTTGGAACTCCTCGGCATAATATAACCGACGCGCTGTTGGGTGAAAGAGGCATGGGAACCTTGATGGTCAGTTGTGTATGCACTTACTGGGAGAATGCTTTTAAGCACGATTAATCATACTTAATCATAATCAATAGAGTCATGTTCAAAATTCATAGTACTAGCCATCTCGATTACATGACCACATTCTATCGACCAAATATATTGCATTGCTGATTTATTATCAAATACTCATAATTCTAGTATCGCAGTATATGGTTCATAGTTTTGTTGACAAGCGGTCAGTCTTGGTGAGCATTTGCGATGTACTGTAGGTAGATACTTAGGTACCTAGTACCTAGCTTGTTTCTCGCTTACACAATATCGTCCAAGAGGGATTTAGGTAAGCTGACTCGTTGCCGAGGAGATTGACTCACCTCACACACCACCATTTATTGATCCGAGACCTACAGGTGGATAAACATTAGCTGACGAGTTCATCGTATCGGATATGATAGCTACCTACTTATTCGACATGAAATGCTGCTGAGCAACTTCCACCTAGGAATAATAGTAGGTACAGGCTTCTCTCAGCCCAACCAGAGATAAGAACATCGAGATGCCTGCCTATTCGAGACATAGTGATCCGCACCGTCGCTGCCCCCGGTCAGACCTGGTCAGGCAAGGGTTGTCCGGCAATAACAGTACGATAAGATAGGTCAGAATAGGTCCACCAGCCGAGAACTAGAGACTAGTAGCTGCCGAATGCTTGTTCTCACAGATGATGCTGAGCTACCCTTGTCCGTTGGAGTAATATGATGAAAGAGCACATACACGAAAGGCACGAAGGGGAAAGCGAAATGTACTCAACCTGCGACTTGGAGAACGCTGCTGGGTCAAAGTACGCATGGCAACATCTTTTTATACCATTGCGAATTACGAGAAGAAACCATAGATATTCGAATGCTAGTGCACAGTATGTTTGAGCTACCAGACCAGGGGGGCATGTGAACATCCTTCAGGGTCTCTGTGGGAGAGCTGCATACATGATCGGCATGCTAGATAGGTAGCTCTGATGGTATTTATAATTGAAAGAGAGCGTATTCCCAACACTCAATTGGTTTCTCTCTTACACATCCTCTCTTTATCTTCTTCGCTTCCCATCCTCCGAGCAATATTCGCTCGGTAGCTAGGTCGCGAATAGCCAGCCCATATAGCTACGGAGCCCATCACTCAATGGCCTCGTTTGCGCGCAGCCTCGTAGCCCTCGCGGCGGCGACGGCCCTCACGACGCTGAGCCCGGCGCAAGCCCAGTTCGTCAAGCCGCCCACGGACCTGAAGCGCGTCATCGGCCACTACAACATCCCAGTGCGCTACAAGGAGGTTCCGACGGGCATCTGCGAGCTGAATCCGAACGTGAAAAGCTACTCCGGTTACGCGGATGTCGGAGAGGACCAGCACATTTTCTTCTGGTTCTTCGAGGCGCGCGAAGTCGAACCCGAAGAGGCGCCGCTTACAGTCTGGATCAACGGCGGGCCGGGCTCGAGCTCTATGATCGGGCTGTTTGAGGAGCTGGGTCCCTGTCGCGTCGACCCGGAGGGGAAAGTCTTCAGCAACCCATACTCGTGGTCTAACGTCAGCAATATGCTGTTCATCGATCAGCCAAGTCAGGTTGGGTTTTCGTATTCTTATCCTGTGCCCGCGTGGACCAGCGACAGCGGCGGTGTCGTCGTCCTACCCGAAGAAGTCTGCCCGGATTATGCACCAGCGGGTACCTGCGGCACGTATGCCTACCCGAACATCACGTTGACTGCGAACACGACACCTGCTGCGGCCCCGAACTTCTGGAAGACACTTCAAGGCTTCATGGGGGCCTTCCCGAAGTATTCGAGGAACGGATTCCACTTTGCGACAGAGAGTTACGGAGGTCATTACGGTCCCATATTCAACCAGTATATCGAGAAACAAAATAAGAAGCTCCCTCATGGTGCTATCAAGATCCAGCTCGAGACTGTATTGATAGGGAATGGATGGTAAGTCGATGAATCGATCTCATAACTAGTAGACTCCGATATTAAATCTCGTTCGAGAACGGTTGTGAGAGCCGGGACGTAGTACCAGAATACTGACCTTGTTCCTACACAGGTATGATCCTTATGTCCAATACCAAGCGTGTAAGTTGTCCATCCACACAGATTCTGAGGGTCTATGTTGAGATTTTTTCTTTTACCTCGGATATCCCCTTGAACTAGAAACGTTGCTGACATTTGGCGTCAAAAGACTATAACTTTTCCGTCTACCCCGGGAACACGTACGACTACTCCCCCTTTGACGAGTCCAACGCAAGCATGTTCTACAACAATCTGTATGGGAAAGGCAATTGCCTCGACAGGTTGCAGTACTGCAAGGACACGGGTGACAACGCCATTGTAAGTAACCAGATGGATCCCATAATCCACTACCATCCCCCTGCCTGCTTGTCAGTATATATATATAAAGCAACATCAGCAATTTAAAGCCAGCGCCATGAAAAAAAGCAAAATACACGAATCACTCGAACTCCTCACTAACACAACTCTCCGATCCAACAGTGCAGACTCGCCGACAATTTCTGCGCATACATGGTAGAACTAGTCTACGACAACGTCCTCGGGCGCGACGAGTACGACATGCGCTACCTCACACCCGACCCGTTCCCCTACCGGTACTACGAGTCCTACCTCAACACGCCCGCAGTGCAGTCCGCGATCGGCGCCTTCACCAACTTCTCCAGCAACGGGGCCGTGGGCGACGCCTTCGACAGCACGGGCGACGACGGCCGCGAGATCGGGACGATCGAGGCGCTCCGGTCCCTCGTGCACGCGGGCGTGACGGTGGCCATGTACGCCGGCGACGCCGACTACAACTGCAACTGGCTCGGCAACGAGGTATCCGCGGGCTCGGTGCGCGCGCCGGGGTTCGCCTCGGCCGGGTACCGCGACATGCTGACCAGCGACGGCGTATGCCACGGACAGGTCAAGCAGGCCGGGAGATTCTCCTTCACGCGCTTCTACGAAGCGGGCCACGAAGTACCCTTCTACCAACCCCTGGCGTCCCTCGAGTTCTTCGCGCGCGCGATACGAGGCCGCGACATCGAGACCGGGAAGCATGTCGTCGGTCCGGCGTATCGCACGGAGGGATCGCCGAAGAGCACGTACCGCGAGGGCAACGGCACTGTGCAGTTCAGCGTCACGCCGGCGAACCTCACGTATGACGTCATTACGAATAAGCCTGGTGCGCCGTGGTCTGTTGCGAGGAGCGGCGGGGAGGCGATGGTGAAGAGGAGTTTCCGGGGCCCGAGGGGTGTTGGGGGACGGCCGTCGAAGAGACAAGGGCCTGGGTTTCGCTTTCGGTAGATAGATAGGACGCGTGGGATTCGTTTTAGCGGGTGAGCGAGCGAGCGAGGTAACGCTAGGAATCGTGGAATATGGTTACGATGTATGACGCATGATCAAAAATAAAAGAAAGATAAGATCTAGGACACTAGGTACTAGTAGTAATGAATATACACTACTTAGCATAATTACGATAATGAGTTCATGCCTTCACTCAAACACAGTAAGTTGTTATCGATTATGGCTGATCATCAAGATAGTTAGTCTGACATAATGATCACTCTCTCTGCAAAACTAGCTTCCGCTCGTAGACGCAATCGCTCCGTGACTAGACTCCTATCCTCCCGAGACAATTATATACATAAGACGTCCTTATCACCCGGGACCGATTTTAGCTGCCGAGAATAATCTTCTCCATCTCGTCGGGGTCTTTGACCGCTGTCGTTAGGTTGATGTAGCCATCTTTCGTGATGACGATATTGTCCTCGATTCTAAACGGCCAATATGGTTAATACCACAATCCCTCATCCGTACTGCTGACCATATGGGTTAAATAGCTTACCTCACGCCGCCAACATCCCAGTAGTTGTTAAGGACGTCCTCATCGATGTACTTCGAATGCTTAGGGTCTTTGAGGTATGGCGCAATAATGAACTCGCAAAAGTAGATCTATCACTAGGTTAGCAACACCGACTCTTCCCGTGCGGATATTCGAAGGCCCACATACACCAGGCTCCACGGTGATAACGCTTCCCGCCGGTAAGTTCCTCCTCACTCGCAAGTATCTAAACATCGGGTCGGGGTCCGAGTAATTTGGGTGGCCACCGGTGTCATGTGTGTCCATGCCTAGATAATGGCCTAGACCATGTGGAAGAAAAGCCGTGCTGGTGCGGGCTTCCAAGATCTCTTTTCGCTCTCCTTTCAAGATGCCAAGTGATAAAAGACCGTCGATGGCAATCTGATGCGCTCGCACATGGACGTCATCCCACCAGACACCTTCTTTGAGCATTTCGATACATTCATTCTGCATCTGTAGTACGATTTCGTAGATAGCTCGTGACTGCTCGGTGAAGCGACCTGATATGGGGAATGTTCTGGTCTATTCATTTCATTACCGTTAGTAGTCTGCAACACATGAGTAGCGATCGCTTTGGATGAAGACGTCTTACAATATCCGAAGCATACGTATCCCATTCCGCGCCAGCGTCAAGGAGCAGCAGGTCCTTCCCAGCCAGGTCCTTGTTGTTATGGACATAGTGAAGCGTAGCAGCCGCTCTACCGCTGGCCACGATGCTAGGGTAGGCCTGTTTTTTGGCACCCTGCCGACTGCAGCTGCCGGTGAACACACCCTCGAGCTCATACTCGTTCTGAGCCCTGCGCACATTCTCAAGAACCGCCTTATGAGCGACAGCGCTGATCTGGTTGGCCTTCTTGATGAGGGCGATCTCATAGTCGTCTTTCACGACACGACATTCGTCGATAGCCTCCGCGAGGAGGGACATGTCTTTGTTGCCAAACTCAAGAAATGTAACCTTGTCGGAGATGCGCTCGGCGATGGCGAAGACGGTGGACTTGGAGTTGGCGCCGCCCAGCCTTGCTAGCATGGGATTCAACTCGGTTGTGGGTAGGACGGTATCGACATCGTATTTGGCCAGGGCCTCTTCGGGAGACAAGGGGAGGCCAGACCAGATGACGCTCTCGGGATCGATTGGGGGGATGAAGAGAGTGGACTTCTCAGTCTCAATGTCGTAGATGAATGCGCAATCAGCAGCATCGACGCCGGTTAAGTACATGAAAGGTCTCCGTTGTCTGTCTCGCGGTTAGATAAAGCCCGTCTTGTCGTACTCGGCAGACAGGGCGAAGAATGCTAACACACCTGAAAGGAACCGGCTCATCGCTGTCTTCGAGGAGGTGGTCGGATCGACCCTCGAGGTACAGTGCGCCGGTGGCATCTGGAACCTTGGATCGGATGTACTCGACTACGCGCTTTGCATGGGCTTTGGCGGGATACTTGCCCTTCAGGACAGTCTCAACATCGATGTCGGCCATTGTCGCCGTAGTTGTTGTGTGAGGAGCTGTCGCGATGGCGGTAAACCGGCGCGGGGTAAGAGGTATGAAGGGAGAGGGCGGGGTAGCTACAGTAGACACCACCTGCAAGCTTGCGCTTCTGTATGGTGCGACGATGTATTGCGATAGGATCCGATCACAGAGACGGATCGCTGGTTTTGCTGACCGTAAGGAAAGAGTGGTGGTTCTGCAGAGTACAAAGCTGCTCTTGGTGAGTATGGCAGTGGGAGGCATCTGATTCGCGCTGCCAGCCAATAGGGAGAATTCCTATCGTGAAATGGGGAAAGCGGTTTGATGCGGATGTTGTTTGGCTGCATTCCCATCCCGAGGACACCTCCGAGGGGGTTACCAACGGCTCAAGTTAACCCAACGTCAATTGTACCCGAGATCCAGTACCGCCTATCTGCCCACACCGTGAACTATCTAGATTCGGTAGGTGGGCAGAGAAAGTTGTCTAGATACCTACCTATTTGGGTGACTTCTTTTGTAGGATTAATCATGTTTTGCGTCGGAGACAGTATGATATCTCAATTGACTGTATATATATGTAGACAGAGAAGCGCCCCCAGGGTATGATTTACCACAATTCAAAGGTGCCTTGAAATAAATATCCTGCCATTGATAATGATAGATTAAGTGGATAGCTATATTGAATGTAAGGTGAGGACCCATGAACACATCCATTGGAACCTGGTAAATACACATATATACATGACTTTTTGATTAGATGAGGGGGTATCATAGATATAGGTGACGGACTCCAATGAATAAACGCAATATATCGTTCTTGATGCCCATAGATTAATGCCGCGCTACTTCCCAATTATATAATGTAATTCGGACAATGGTAGTGTGAAAGGAAGGTCACATATTGCTCATCCTCCGATGAGTACGGAGTGGCAGAACCCTCACTGAATTTGTTCTTGCTTGTTGCATGCCATATCGTTTAGTCAACGAATATAAAGTTTGTAATCCGAGTCCAGTGTGCAACGGATCTATGCCTTTATGCAGCCCTTTATGTTGACGACGGAGACGCAAAATTGGTGGCCCAAATGCACGGACCGCCGCGGTCCAGAGATGATTCCGCCTCAAAAATTGAACATGGCTCATGCACAATCATTCATTTTCTCTCTTTGTTGGAGTTGCTCGTGAAGGAAGCTCGGACTACCGGAGGCTGGAATGCCGCATCTCGCCGAGCTCAGGAATTAGTCAGGGTTCTTCTTACGCCGCAGATCAAGATTTAAGTTCGGTATTGTTCCACCAACGCCTATGGCCGCCGCAGAACCGCTACTTGTGCTCTGTTTCAACATCTCCCAATGTTTTCTTAGTGCCTCCTCGTCTACCACCAGCTCAAACCCAGCGAGGAAACAAAAACTGATCTCAAGTCTAGCTAACTCGACTTCGCTGACACCGCCGACCTTAGCAACCTTGGAATGCGGGTAGCTGAGGTCTTCTAACGCCTTCATGGCGACCCTGAGACCGGCGAGCAGCAGCCGGTGGCAGTTCCTGCTTGTTACAGGGATAGCTCGTTCTTCAACTGCCAACCGGAAAATGTAGAGCGATGTTGCCAGGTACACGGCAGTCGACATGGGGCAGAATCTATGAATGCGCTGGAGATAATCTTCGATGCTAATGGGCGGGGGCGCCTTGCTGAAGAATTTGCGTGTAATGGCGCTGTGTTGCAGGTTTAGAGGCTGCATATTTTCGCCGATGACGATATACGGCCGGGGCTTGGTGGGAGGTAGCGGGGGGGTAGGTGGATGTCGGAGGCGCACGCCGTCGACAGGCTGAAATTGTTGTGTATCAAAGAAGCCCTGTTGGCCTTGTCCTTTTGGTTCGGGTTGGCTAGTTGGATTTTGCCCTTGATTGTGTTGATGAAGATTGGCGAGGTTCTTTTCAGAATGTGATCGCACAATGGCAGCTTTTTCTCGTTGCAAACCGCTCATGTTGGGTACGGGAGGACTAGTAGGAGGAGGCGTTGGAGGGATGTCCCCAGTGACACGAACTAAGGACTCGATGCCAGCAGAGAGCAGCTTGAGGGCGGCGGTAGGTGGCAATTTGAAAAGATCGGCTGGAGCATTGGTTGGGACAACATGAAGTGGTGGAGGTGTTCGCGCCTGCGTGATCAGCTTCGGGTCTGTCGACGGCACCGGACGCGGCGGTGGTAGAGCCGGTATCGTGTCCGAGCCTTCTCTCTGGTCATGGACGGCATTCTGCTCAATTCCATCACCATCTGGTGGCATTTTCCCTCCCCGGTTTCGAACTGCTTCCTCTTTGCCCTTTCCTGGCGAAGAAACGGGGCAGGCCCAAATCCCAGAGCCTATACGAGCACCGGTATATCACGGTACTCTGTAGCACGCGCTGTGAGTATCTGTAATACCGTGTGTGTGGACGGTTTGACGACTGCTTAAGCTGCGATTGGACTAGACGTGTTCGTCTAAAGTGTGACAGAGGACGACTCAATTTCTCTTGTGAGATGTCGTCTTGAATCCGGTCCTTGATAAACACGCATCATCTCTTGCTCGAAACAGGCCAGACAAAACAAGTACGATAGGCGGTAGGTGATAGACGATGCAAAAGTGCAGTAGGCTAAACAAGGAGACAGGCTCTAATCAAGACAGAATCGTATTTATGGAGGTTACCTAGTCGATAGGTAACTGAATTAGGGCCGAGACCAATCGGGTACAGTCGGAATGATTAATGGGAATCGAAGAATATGTCGCGTCACGGGTATAAATGGAAATTGTATGATGCTAGATTGAAGTTGCCAGCCCAGATAATAGGACCGGCGAGGTTAGCGAAAAGGAACACGACGGGTGAATGAAGAGATGAAGCAATTTGGTCTATCCTGCCCCAGGAGAAGAGGTCAGGGTGAAGCAAGAAGAAGACCACCATCTCCTGACAAGTGGTGACATGCTCTGTCGCTGTTAGTTAAGTATTGACCACCCTGGCTGCCGCCAAGTTGAACCCCGCTGTCAATTAAAAGAAAACGGCCTGGTCGCGCAACAGGCCATTGAAGTGGGGTAAGACAGGGGGGGTAGTAGAGCACCTACATGCCTTACTTACTTAAGTACAGTAGGTACTGACCTGCATAGCCTAACAGGCGCACTACTGTCCCTATTTCTACCTTATTCTGCCCGAGGCTCTACAGGTAGGAGGTAGGTAGGGACTCACAGGATGCCCTGTCGCCCTGTGTCTAGCGCAAATATGTGCTATGTACCGCAGGTTAGGGTGTATCTCACTGCCGACCGTAGCACAGCAAGTGGCTGGTTGGTGCATGCCTATCCGAGACAAGGCGATCCTGGAAGAACTGATCCTGAGACAAAATCGACTTTCCGTCCTTGTGATCTCGTGCAGAATAGACAATCTAGACCGCCAGGTCACAGTCGAGACAGTCTCGTCACAGTAAGGATCCGTCAAGTTGGCTCGAGTGGTTTATCTTTGCCCCATACTTTAAGCCTTGCCTGTCACATCTCGATCATCCGCCCAGATATCCGCCCACTTGGAGACCAGACGAGATCTCGACCAAATTGGCAACATCCCCCCATATTATCATAGTACTATCTTCGCAGGAGCAAAATCTCCTGTCCCGTCCCCTCGGATCAGCGAACCTCGCTTCCGTATCTGAAGCCATGATAGGTAAACGCGCAGCTGGGTTTGGGGGTGTGGATGGCGTCTCCAAAACTTTTGCCACGGAAAATCCAACCAGTGAGGGGAAGCCACCAATTAGCTCACAGCATCACGCACAGATCTATATCTTCCGCATATAACCCCAGCTCCGTTGTACAAAATATCAGGTACATGAAACTCATCGAGAGTAGCACGCGAGGCACGTAAGGAGATCATCGTCGATACGAACGCGACAGGCGGACATTGAGGACCCTCGATTTGCCTCCGTTATCCATAGCCTATAATCATTCTGCTCCACCTCGAGCGAAGAGATAGTCTAGACTCTTGATTTACGCTGCCCAGAGCAGAGGGGATACGAGTTCTGGAACGAAGATACACATAATTATTTGACGTTGGATGATCCAGGATGACTTGGGGGGGGGGGGGGGGGGGGGGGGGGGGGCGGGGGGGGGGGCGGCGGGGGGGGGGGCGCGGGCT